TTTTTCGGAAGCGGACGTGCGCTGCCACGCACCTGGGTGGTTGGGCGCGCTCATGGACACGCATTACCTCCAGGCCGTCTGTCATTGGTGCACGCTAAGATGCGCGTTAATGGCTTCAGCTGCGCGGCCGCACAACTTTTTCTTCCTTTCCTCAACTTGTTTTTCTCCCACTTTGTGCATTATTTGTCTATTGATTATCTCATCAACACATGCACCGAAAAGTAACATGTTAGACCGTAATTCAGGCAAAGTCCCTATCAAATCAACCCGATTAAGGACACAAAAAATATTTTAAATGTCAATTAATTTTAAGCTCATCAAATATATTCCAAGGAGGCCTACATTATTCTACGTTCGAGAAACGCTAATCCAGCCCTCAAATCATAAAGAATTATTCGGAGAGAAGAATCAAAGGAACAAGTGTAATTGTGCTCACAATATAATTATTATTTTTTTCATATTTTGTTTGTGATTGTAGTTAATTTTTCATATCTTGAAAACTTATTGCAAACATCTCTTACACATGTTTGAATATACTCTCTCTGTCTCAAATTATCTGTCGTGTTTTTCTTTTATACACCCCAAAGAAAGTATTATGTAGGAGGAAAGTTTGACTTTTTAATCCTTATTTATGTCTTTAAATATAATCTCTCTTCATTGCATATTTACTCCATAGTAGAGGAATAGTCTTCAAGAACAATTACTACTATTAAGTATAAAATGAAAAAATATAATTAATTTTGTCTTGAACTTCTAAAATGACAAATTATTGTCACAACCCAATTTTTCCTCCGTTGGGTATCGTGATGGCACCTAGTCTTAGGGACTGGGTAAACCTAACGTTTACTGAATAACAACAATAATAAAGAAAACAGTATCGATACAGAAATCTTTACAAAATTTACAATTTTCCAAAATCGGTAGTACAAGTCATAAGCTCTACAGAGTTTACTACAACTTTTAAATACAACTGTTTGGAAATAAGTAAAACAGTGTGAATAAGAATTTAGGAAGGTGACTCCGAAGCCTGCAAAAGCAGCAACAAGTTTACCTTGTGTCTCCACAGCAACGATCCACACAACTACTAACAAACAAATACCTGGATTTGTAAAAAATATACAGAAGTATAGTATGAGCACACCACAGCGGTGCCCAGTAAGTATCAAGACTAACCTCGGTGGAGTAGTGACGAGGAACAATCAAGACACCTACTGGTCTAATAAATTGAACAAGTATAAGTATAAGAACAACAATGCATGATTTCTGCATGAAAGCTACGCAATATGACTAACAATCCGGTAATTACAATAAGAAAGGGAAAAACGATCAGTACCAGCGGAATACCATAATAATGACACAAAAGAGTGAGCGGAAACACAACCTAAATCCGAAACCACAGATACATCAAGGACAAATAGTAACTCAGCAACTACGACAGCTTTCACATTTGATTTTAGTCAACAACCTTCACGGAGTATCGAACCTCGGATAAATTACAACTCACGGGTCTCAATACCTGAACCCTAACACTTGGCATCATGTGCTCTCATCACACCTCATAATCATGCTGACAACACACGTGCCAAATAGAGCCACTCTCACATAGGAGGCAAGTAAACAAGGGTGTGCACCTATACTCAACAATATCAAGGAAACCTCTTATCCGATAAGGGTGCTTAGCCACGTGTATGCTTGTACAAGTGTCCTAACATAGTTCATACTAGCTAGTAAGCATAAGAAAAAGAACGGACAACACGTTGAATGTTTACACATGAATAAAATTAATGAAAAGCAACAACTCAGAATACAGTGATAACAACAGGGGATCTCCCAGGATACTGTCCCGTAGTCCCAAACGTAAATGTGCAAGGGGATCTCCCGGAATACCATTCTATAGTCCCAAAGTAAATATGCAGTGCTGGGGGATCTCCCGAAATACGTTCCGTAGTCCCAAAGTAAATATGCAGTACAGAGGGATCTCCCAGAATACCCTTCCATAGTCCCAAAGTAAATATGCAGTATAGGGGGATCTCCTGGAATACCGTTTCGTAGTCCTAAAGTAAATAGGCAGGGCAACCAACAGAGATAACAGTTACAACACGGTAGAAACCTCGTGCATCACCACAACAAGTACAACAACAACAATGGCAATAATACAAAGTACGACAAGTAAATCAACTCAAGAACTTTAAATCACAAAGAAACGGTAGAACCAGTTCATAAGGAATAACCATAGTAAAGACTGTTAGGCATAAAGAGAACAATTCAACAAGGGAAACCCAATATGTAGCAACGATCCCACAATATACAATTCAACAGTAAAGAAGCTAACGCGAGTCAAATAGTTCCAAATAAAGACAAGTCAACTAGGATATAGGATGTCTAAACTTCTTTTAAGGTTGAACAATTTCGAGGATATTCGATAATTCAATTAAAGATAAGCCGCAGAAAGATAATCATAACCTCAATTAAGACTAAACAATTATAAGGTGAGATGATGATAATTTTAAATAAAGATAAGCAGTTATGAAAAGATAGCATGACAATAGAAGAGGTAAAATATTTAGTTAAGTCAATTAAGAATCAAATAAGCAATAAGAGTGAATCCTAAAGCAATTAATTCCAATTTAAGCAAGTAGAGTTGAGACCAGTAAATAGGAACTCAGTCATATCAAGAACAATTTCATACACAGTGAATATAAAGACCTAAGAACCCTAAAAGGTCACTCGTCACCTCGCGTACACGGATTATAATCAACATAGAAGACTCAAATCCTAAGAAAAAGGTTAGACAAGATACTTACCTCAAAGAAGACAAACCAATACTCTAAAATAAACTTCTCGGGTGAAAAGACCTCCGGACGGCTCAAATCTAATCAAAATAACTTCAAAGCACAAATAAAACTCATAAGAAACTATTCCAGATCATAAAGTCTCAACCTTTAATAAAATCCAAAAATCGGTCCAAAAGATGACCCCCGGGCCCGCACCTCGGAACCCAATAAATTTTATAAAAATCGAATACCATTCCGATACAAGTTCAACCATACAAAAATTATCAAATTCCGATACTATTTGGTCCCCAATATCATGATTTTTCATTTTGAAAACATTCTTCATAAACCACCATTTTCCTCAACTCAAAACACAAATTAAATGATAAAAATAAAGATAAAATCGTGGAACATATTAAATTCTAGGTGAAGAACACTTGCCCAATCGATTTGCTTGAAAAACCCACAAAAAATCGCTCAAAATCGAGCTCTACAAGTCAAAATATGATAAAAATGGTCTAACCCTCGATTTGGGAATATATTATGCCTGCCCAGTAGTTATGCATCACGAACGCGGAAGAACAATCGCGTACGCGAAGAAGGAAAATGAAAGCTGCTCAGTTGTGCTTCGCGAACGCAACCACACGTTCGCGAACGCGAAGAAGAAAAGTGTGATGGCCCAGCGACTGGTTTTCACGAACGGGCGAAGCAGTACACGAAGAGTGGAATTGCCTAACTACGCGAACACGTGAGATGAACGCGAGCGCGATGAAGGAAAAGACAGACCTTCCCGAACGCGAAGATGAAATTTGGGGTGGTTAGCAGAAGCACTTCGCGAACGTGAAAAGCACTTCGCGATCGTGAAGAAGGTCACCAGAAGAGAGAATCAGTAGTTCAAAAATAAGAAGAATTGACTCGTAGCCCATCCGGAACAGACCCAGGGCCCTCGAGACCCCGTCTAAACACACAAACAAGTTCTATAACCTAACACAGACTCGCTCGGGGTCTCAAATTATATCAAACAACACCGAAAATGCAAATCGCGCCATGAATCGAACAATGAACTTCCAAATGTTCCAACTTCGAAAACTCGTGCCGAAATCAATCAAATCAACTCGGAATGGCGCCAAATTTTGCAGACATGACAGAGATGCTCCAACTCTCGAAATCGCATTCCAACCCTGATATAACAAAAGTCAATCGTGGGTCAAACTTCTCCATTTTCCAAACTTCAACTTTTTCAACTTTCGCCGATTTGCCTCAAATTACTCTACGGACCTCCAAATCCAAATCCGGGCGCGCGCCTAAGTCCAAAATCACCATACGAAGCTGCTGACATCATCCAAAACTCATCCCGGAGCCGTTTACACAAAAGTCACATTCCGGTCAAATTCTCACCACTTATGCTTTCAAAACTAGATTCCTTCTTCTAATTCGACTTCGAACATCCGGTAACTGAATTCAATCATGCACGCAAGTCGATAAACATATTATGAAGCTGTTCAAGACCTTATGCCGCCGAACGGAGCTTCAAATTCTTAAAATGACCGGCCGAGTCGTTACAATTATTTTCAAAGAATACGGTAGATAATTTGAGACGGAGGGAGCATATTGATAGTGTAAATACAAGCTAAATCCATTAACTACGGCAGCGAATCACCACATTAAATGCAATTTAATTGAATGATGATGTATTGAAATTGAATGAAAATCAGAACCCATTGATTGCATGCTTAGTAATTACTCTGACTGAGTTCAAGAGACAACACATCTCTTCGTGAAAATTTACTGTGGGAAATCTTAACAATGCAGCATCCAGATTTTGGTGAGGATTTATTTGGATACCGTATCGTTTATTTTCAAAATCCTTTCTATTTTGCCAGCAGATACTCTGCATCCTATTCCATCTTCCATATGACCACATCAAATGAAATACTGAGACCTACTTGACTTTTTTTAAATATCAAATAGTTTAGTTATTTGTTTATTAATTTAACTTGTATATATGTATAATCGCAATATAATTTTTTTTGTACTATCAATGTAATTTAACATATTGTTACAAATGGTCTGTCTTCATTTTCATGTTACTAATTTCTCTCAACATGTGCAGTTACCTATAGCATTCTTTTANCCCCCCCCCAGTACGAAAAAGAAAGAAAATAAGGAATGAGCTGGAGGGAGCATAGCAGGAATCGGTGTGCAGATATATATACTTATGGATATTGTTTAAGTGAAAATCAAGAGAGCCCAAATATGAAGATCGCGAAATATCTGTGACAATCCTTTTATTTGATTTTATTTTGTTGATTCCTTCCCTTAAAAAAACCACTCCACGCCATCCTTTTAGTCCAATTACCTCTTCTTCTCCTCCTCCTCCTCCTCCTCTTCTTCTTCTTCTTCTTTCTTTCCATTACTTTTTCTTTAAAGTTTCATTCTTGATTTTTCTCTCTGCATGTTATTTTCTTGTGTAAAAGTGAAATTTCTGCGGATTAAGTGAAAAAAATGGAGACCTTTGCTTCTTCTGCTTCATCGTTATCAATTTCAAGCGAACCCCATGTGCTAGCTGTGGATGACAATCTTGTTGATCGTAAACTTGTGGAGAAGTTACTCAAGAAATCCTCTTGCAAAGGTAAGCACTTTTTTTTGAATATCCTCACCTTGTATTTAATTTAATTTAATTTAATTAGAATAAGTGGATGGGATGTTTTCTCAAGCACTGCATTGTGCAACGTAGAGTCGTAGACAAATAAAATTCCCAGAAAAGAGGAACATAAGAAAGACAGGAGATGAAGATTTTATAATGTTGAATCTTTCAACAGGAGACACCCTTTAGCAAGGATATATGTCATCAAATACTGCTTTGCAAGAATATTTTTCTAATATTCTGTGTACACAATTTTTTTCTAGAAACAGTAGGTACATAGATAATATAAAGGTCGCCACCACATTAAAACAAGGCAGATTCATCACATCGCCAGCAGGTTCATGTATATTTTCCATATTGAACATGATTTATAAGTGAAAATCTACTAAAATGTACATAAATATTATATTTGAACCCTTAATTTTAAAACTAAAATAAGGTTAGTATTAAAAAAAACTATAAGCCAAACCTCTCAAGTTTAACAGTGGATCTGCCTCTATTTTAATTAAAATAATACAAATATTAGTTGGTATATGAAGTAAAGCTTTAATAAGCACCAAAACCTCGATCTAATCCCGCTTAATTAAAAACCAAATTATGAATATATGTGACACTATATGTGTAAAATTCTGCCTACGCTAGGACTCAACACCCCCACCAGGTCCCCGAAGAAGAAAACTCTTAGTCGAAGGGGAAAAAAACTAAAGCGTGCCTGAAAACTCAATCGATATTGACATTTACCTAGTCCTTTGGTCAACCTTTTGGATTTGCCAACAGCTGTACCTACGTTGTTTTTCTTTATGTTTGTTTTACATCTTTAAATCTTTCACAATCCTTCGTTGTAGACTTTCTTTTCAGCCCATGTGGTTCATAACGTGCGCGACTCAACTCGTTGCTTTTCATTATTTTCCTTACCCATAAATGGGAAAGACACAACCCGGATATATAATATAACTTACTATATTGTCTCAGTTTGGTCGGAAATTAACACCATCCATTCACTGGATTATCTGTACCTTGTACATATATACAAGCTAATTAAGTTCTTTTTTTTTTTTTGCTGCAATCCAACTGTTAAATTACGCGATTGTTTTGCTCTACACATGGCTATTAAAGATGTTAATGTGAAACATTATATTAATGCACAAGCAAGTGAATATTGGATCAATAAATCTCATGATTTGAAAGTTTCCTTCAGTAACTACCGCAGAAGATGGTCTGAGGGCTTTGGAGTACTTGGGTTTGGGAGCACATCATGACAGCTCTACAAATAGCAATGTGAGTCTCTATTGAATAAAGATTGAGTTTGCATTCTGCGCAGTGGTCACGTTATATGACAATCTAAAAAATAAAGTAATATAACCAATTGAATTGCAACTAGATCTGTGTATATAACTTAAACACTCAAATACTTGAATATTACAGGCTCTACTAATTAGTTGTGGTGTTAATTTATATAGTTTCTTGAGTGCAGGGTTCAAAAGTTAATATGATAATCACAGATTATTGCATGCCAGGAATGACAGGTTATGAACTGCTTAAGAAAATCAAGGTAGGTAGTTCATTCCCAGTGAGCAGCAACATATATACTTCTGCACATAATTAATTCTACAAAAATAACTCTTTAATTTAGTTACTCATCATGAGTTTGAACTCAAATTTGCTTCATTGCATTGCAAGCAGGAATCGTCGATCATGAAGGATGTGCCGGTTGTGATAGTGTCATCAGAGAATATTCCAACTCGAATTAATCAGTAATATATTTTTGTCTTATAGTAATTAACTAACCACCTCAATATTATATTATATTTCATTTTTGTAGCTGTGATCTGATACTGAACAAAGAGTACTTGTGTGAAATGGACAGATGCATGGAAGAAGGAGCTCAGATTTTCATGCTGAAGCCTCTGAAGCACTCCGATGTCGAAAGGCTTAGATGTCAAATAACGCAATGCTGATGATATATTGACTCTTCTCATCTGTCATCTTCTAAAAGAAGAGAAAAAGAGAGAGATATTACCATGTATAAGAGTGATTACGAGATTCTAAAGACTCGTGAATTCAATTGTATATCTCTGGAGCTTTAGAAGTTCCTGCTTTCATTAAGAAAATGTAGACCTTGTTCTTTTCATCTATTTTGCTCTTCTCTGTCTCATTCTACGGTTGCTTTCGAGTCACCCCAAGAGCAAGGTCGAAAGTTTTTGGAGGGAGGAATGCCGATGATCTATCAGAAACAACCTCTCTACCTCAGGATAGGGATAAAATCTGCGTACACACTACCCTGGAATTACAGTGGGTTATTGTTGTCTGTCTCATTCCACCAAGGAGCGTACCCTTTTGTGTCAGAGCTTGTAATTGGTGGCAAGATTTTGTACCACAACATTTCTTAGTTATATTTCTCCTTTTAACTCCAACTAATATGGGGAAGTTGGAGATTCACAATCATCATTAAGATTCTCCAAAATCTGGAGGACTACTATCCTTGATTTTGAATCACAAATTCCCAAAAAAGAAAAGCAAAACATATGGAATTTCGTGATTAAGACAGCAAATGGTTGAAAAGATTCTATTTTTCTTCAACCCCTTTGGACTCGGAGTGAACAAACAATATCTCAAAAGTAAACTAGCAGGTACAAGATAAAGTATACACAACAACCAAACTGAAACACTAATAATCCTCTGAAATTGAACACAAATTCACACATTTATCTTGCTAGAGTAGAAGACTCAAAAAAAACAATTTCTTTAATTTGGGATTAACAGAAATGGCTGTGGTGGTGGTGATGATGGTGTCTGTGTTCATCCCATCCAAGACACTGCAGAAAAGGATAGCAGGCCATAAAGATACACCTGCTAAACATGGAGAAAACAGAGGAGAGTAGCAAACAAGGGCAGCAACAACATGCCAAAAATGGATCATCATATGGACTGCCTCCTTCGTGGTGGTGGTGATGATGATGGTGGTGATGACCCATCTTCTTCTTTCACCTGAATTGAGAAAATTAATGATTACCCACTACTCAATTAGCACATTCAATCACACCCACTTGATCATATAATGATTATTGATCAAAAAGATGAAAATCTTTGGGGATAAAAATGAAATTCAAATCAAGAAATCAAGAGAACTACATACCTTGTGAAATGAACCTTCGTTTTTTTTTTTTTTTTCTTTTGTTTGTATAATTGAAGATTGTATGAAGAGAAGGGAGATTGGCAATAATACAGATTTAAAAAAAGGGGACTAGTTGCTCGCAGATTTCAGCTAATTTTGGAAGAATCGCTTTTTTCCTATCCTTTAAATACAGTTCTAATCCAATGGGACAAATCATCTGACGTGGCAACACATAAGCGGTAGAGTTGACACTGGAATTAAAATAATAAAAAAGCCCACTTCTCTTCTCATACGCGGAGCAAACGCAATGAGTCGTTTCTCATGGGTAATAACTCTAGAGGGAGCTTCGTAGAAAAGTACACAACTTCCAACTTAAGGAATTGGCGTTTGCTTCAAACATTCAAGACGAGTTTTTGCAATTTTTCCTTTTTATCCACCTAGCACCAACAACTTATAAGTATCGCTGTCCAACGAGACGGGACAGAACGGGACATGACGGAATTTTACTGGGACGGAAAAGGAACAGGCCTTATCCGGGATGGAATAAACGGGATGATCCGGTAGGCTCGTCTTGTCCCACTAACAAGCGGGACGAGTCATGGGCAATGGCGAAGTCAGAACTATTTTTAAGAGTGTTCAAACTTGAAAGAAGTAGAAAAAAATTCCGACAAAATGTGTTCAATATAGATTTTATATATCTAAAATCAATATTTTACTTATATACACAGTGTAATTTTTCATAATTTTCAGCGAAGGGTGGTCCCATGGTCATGGGCCCTAAGTGGGCATTTTTTTTCTAAATTTAAGGATTTAAACATTAAAGTTGACAACAGATATATTTTTTATAGTTAGCAACAATTATTTTTTTTAAAGTTGACAATGAATAAGTTTTTAAAGTTTGCAATGGCTACTTTTTGACTTTTTTTCAATGAACTTAAAACTTAATAAATTATAAAAAAAAAGTAAGTAAAGAATTATAAAATATTTAAACAAGAGATTTATAGCGAAATATTTTAGTAATTTTAATGGACTTATAATTTATTTTATTTAATCTCAAGCTATAAAGTAACTAAGTAAGACAATTATTAACAAAATTCAAGGCTAAAGCCTTTTATTTTATTAATAAATTTTTTAAATTTCACACACAAATACAAGTCTTTTGAAGAGCACCTCGTCTATACAACCACCTTCTAGGAAGGGGTCTGTTTGAACTAGGCCTCTTATTACTTAATTACAAACTATCATACTAATATTTGTAAGCTCCTATATTATTTTGTTTTAACTTATCTATAANCACCCAATTGCAAAGTATCTTAGAAAGAAGAAAATTTTCAAAATCAATACTTATTCTTTTTGAATTAATCTAATCTCTACATAAAACGAAAATCTCTAGGTTGTCTTCCGCTAATGAATGTCAATGATCTCCGATTTAAAATCTTACTGCGCTAAAAGCACTCTCCAATGATATTGATGATACTTGAATAGCCAGTATATCTCGGATCATTATTGAAAGTGTTGGAAATGCCTTGTCACGCCCCCTCTACCATGCTAAAAGTTATTCGTTGCCTTCTTCGTCTTTAATAGATTCCAATCCCTGATTAAGATAAAAATTAGGTTCATCATCAATAGTGGAATCAACACCTAATAAATCCTCCATACCTTCCCACACTTCTTCTACTCTAGTATTAGAAGTGGTAGGAGCATTTACACCATCTGAAGTCGCCATAGTTTTATAACTATCAAATATTACTCTAGTGCGCGCGCTCGCGTGCACACATATATATATATACTAGCTTGGCAGTCTTCGAGAGTTGTCTTTTCATTTTCTTTAATTTCTAAATTCTCATAAATTTTACGAATAAGTCCCTTCGCACCTCTTAATTTAAAAAATGGATAAGCATAGTGGAAATTAAATAAACTTGGGGAATAGGAAAATATAATTTTAAAATTTCGTACAAGTGATGTTTTTGTATGTTCAACCTTAGCCTTACTCCTTACAGGAGGTACATGGGGTAAAGCTTCAGATCGAGATTGATTCTGAGTTGGAGCTTGTATTGCTAGACTAGTGGGTGTCTCATCTAATTCTTCTTCCTCATTTTCTTCTTCATTGCCAAATTGTCTTTGTAAAGTATTCATGATCGAGTTATTCTCCCAGATTAATATCATAAAATGCAGGGGAATGGGTAAAGGAAGTTTCATCAACACAAATCATTTCATCTATATATTTTCTGACTCTAGAAGGAGAATTAAGGTTACTACAACTATCATATTTACTACTTTTTTTAAATGGGTTGGTTATGCCAAATACTTTTTAAGAGCCATAATTTAAATGCGAAAAGTTAACACAAAAATTAAACATAAAAATAAAACATGTAAAGTAAACATAAAACTTAAGCATTAAAATGATACACAAGAATTAAATATAAAAATTAAGAGATTGAATGAACAGACTTCGTCCCAGAACCCCATAACTCTACACGTTCGCGAGAGGACGGTCGCTTTCGCAAAGGGTAAGCCCCCCACTACTTCACGTTCACGATAGTGTCCCCGCACTTGCAATGAACAATTCCACGCAATCCCAAGTTTCACCTTCGCGATCGCGAAGCAGATCACTATAGACACCAGAAACTGATGAAAACTAGCAATCTCCCAAGTCTGAAATGGTCCGTAACCTATCCGAAACTCACCCAAGTTTCTCGGGTTCCAAATGAAACATGCATAGAAGTGTAATAACATCATATGAACTCGCTCACGTAATAAAAATACCAAAATAACATCTTTAACTAAGAATCGAACATTAAAATACATGAAATTTCAAAGAAAACTCAAGAACCTCTAAAATCACAACCAAGCGCCGAATCCAATCAAACCAACTCCGATTTGCACCAAATTTTACAGACAAGTTTCAAATAGCATAACGGACCTATACCAAATCTCAAAACTAAAATCTGAACCCGATAACCATAAAGTCAACCTACGGTCAAACATAGGGAATTCCAAACTTTCAAATTACTAGTTTTCGGCAAAACAAGTCAAATCAACCTAAGGACCCCCGAATCCAATCCGGGCATACGCTCAAGTCCAAAATCACGATATGGACCTACCGAAATCGTTGAAACATCGATCCGTGATCGTTTACACAAAAAAATATTGACCGTACTCAACTCAAGTTATTTTTAAAGCCAAAAATTATATATTTTTTTAAAATTTTCACATAAAAACTTTCCGAAAAAAGGGTTGAACTGCACTGGTAAATCAAGAAACATAAAATAGGGCTGATGAAGGTCTTGAAACACGATAATAAAGGCTACTACTCAAAATGACTTATCGGGTCGTCACGATTAAAAAGCTACAATTAAGGATACTCATTTAATACTTATTTGTATATAATTGGTAAAATGCATATCAACTTGTAATTAAGTTAAAACTTAAATAGTGAGGTAAATAAGTTTTAAAATTAGTACAACTATGTAAAAATCTCTTGTAAACATAGTATCTTTGTAAAAACTAAAAACGAAAGATATCTTTGTTCCTTAAAGACGACCATTAATGTGTAAATGCAAAATTTATGAAAGGAATCAAGTGATTATTTTTTTTTATAAAGTCCTTTTCTCATTAAATATTATGTAAACCTTTCAACTTTCATCCTTGGTTTCCACAATATTCAATTTCCTTTTTTAATCTTTCTCATTTCTCAGCAAACGTTACTACTATTATATTTTTTCTTTGTACCTACAAGAGATCCTATTTGTCACGACCCAAATCTCTCTCCATAAGATGTCGTGATGGTACCTAATCTCTAAGACTAGGTAAGCCTAACAATTGCGAAAGAATTGAAATAAAAATAGAATTAACAACTAAACTTCAACAGATAACTATATAACTGAAAAATGCCGCTCGGCATGTACAAGTAAACCAACATTCGAGTATAAGCAATTTCCAAAGACTCGGTAGTCACAAGTCACAAGCTATAGGAAAAAACTCTAATTGTCTCTATACATCAGTGTTTAGGAACAATAAGAAGAAACAACATAAAGGAT